AACATAGGTTTAGGATGATGTGGTTCAGCATGGAAGGCTGAGAAGGAAGGGGACAGACCAAGAGTGAGGATGGCACCTGGAGACTTCTGGCCTTGACTGTATCTGAAAGACATCCAGCAACTATGGGAAGGAAGGAAGGAAGGAAGGAAGGAAGGAAGGAAGGAAGGAAGGAAGGAAGGAAGGAAGGAAGGAAGGAAGGAAGGATTCAGAAGCACCTTTCCCAACTCAGTTCCAGGAATGTGTGTGCTTGGTGGGGAGGAGGGAGTGTGTTCTGGGACCTTTTCTATGTCCAGACCCCATCTAGTTTAAAAACCCTGAACTGAGCCTAAACTAGACGCTGGAATAGCAGCACAGATGGCAGTCACCCAGGTGACTGGGACACGGCTTCATGGGACAGTGGTGTTGGCAATCTAGCCTCACCTTCTCCCTCTTCCCCCAGAGTCATCTAAGCGAGGACAAGCCTGGAGCCTGAGTTCTTCTCCTCTATCCCCAGGATAACTGGGACCAGCTTGAGAAGAGAGGATTGGAGAAGTTTAGGGGCCCTGGCATGGAGAAGAAAGGGGTGGGAGTAAGGGAGGAATAACTCCACCTGAGCTGGTCTCCAAATTCCACCCCAAAACTGGTATATCTCTGCCACAGAGCCTCTGTCTGTCCCTCAAACTCCATCCCAGGTCCTGATCTCATTATTCCCCTCCAGCTCCATCTCTATCCACCAGCCCATCCCTCCTCTCAAACCCTCATTATCTGCAGCTGAATCCCAGAGCTCCCATCATCCCTCCCAGCCCTGATCCCTCCCAGTCTCTACAGGCCCTCCTCACTGCTCTCTGAGAAGCTATTCCTACCCAGCCTCCCAGACCCCTTCTCACCCAGCCCAGCCCATCATTCTCCCTCCTCAGGAGCTGTGCACCGAGCAGAGGCGAGGCTTGATTTCCATTCACATTTCCTTACTCTAAGTGGACTTACATAGCTGTTCCCCGTTTTAGAAAGAATCTAGTCACTCAGGGGGCTGAGAGAATAACTGAAATCTACCCTAGAAGGTAATCAGCCTGTGTCCCCAGCCTATTTCCCTCCGTCCTGTCTGCGCGCTTAGAATAGTCCTATGTGACAGGACTTGTGCTTTTGAGCAAAACAACAGGGAACCTCCAAGTCCATCAGAATGTGTAAGCCTGCCTGCTCCTAATGCACACACCCAGAAACAGAGATATACATGCACACACAATCCTATAAACATTTATGTACATAATGTATTTACATGCACATCTTAGAATAGAATGTAAGCTCCATGAGAGCGGGGACAATGTGTTTTTCAGTGATGTATCTCCAGCCCTATACAACAGTGCTGGCACATGAGAAATATTTGCTGGAAGAATGGCACATAATGGAACACGTACATGCAATAAAACAATACATCCATACACATATATAATGCTTATGTACACACAGACATATGTGCACCTATGTTTATCCACATATTCATGCCTTTATATAATCTACACGTGTAACATATATATGTGCATTCATGTACATGCATTCATGTATATATAGTGCATATAGACACACATACACATCACTACTATGAACATGATATACTGGTATATTACATATAGATATCACACAGATACCACATATATATTACACACACACACACATATATATATATATATATACACCTTCACATACATAAATGAATACAAATCAAAACACCTTTTTACCCCAAATTTTCCAGCCTATTTAAGACATCTAGCCCATATCTGGCTGCCATAACCCCAAATATCCACCAGGTAGCACTCTTTCGCCACTTCCTGTACTTCCAAGTGTTGCCAGAGGCGTCGCCAGAGATGTCGACTCTTCCATCTGAGGCACAAAACTTTTGTACCCCACAAGCTTTCTCCTCCCTGCCCTCCCCACCAGCGTGCTGGGCGTGTCCTTGGACCCCAAAGTCTGCAATCTCGGCCCTGCCCAATGTCCAGTTCATACTCTTGGGCCTCCAGGCTTCTGCAGAAGCGGCGGACTTCCCCCTCGGGGCTGCAAATTCTTCTCCACCAGAGCTCACATCCACCCGCCTTCCCCAGCCAGCCAGAGAGTGGGCTCCCCCAGGACTCCGCAGGTTCAAACTAGGCTCAATGGCCCTTCCTCCCCGGACCTCTGAGCTATTAATGAGCAGCCAGACTCAGGGACCCGTCCCCACAATGCCCGGGGAGGGAATGGGGTCATTTGCACACACGTGACACCTATACACCAGTACCCTCCCGGAACGCCCAGTCTGGGCCAGCCAGAAGCTGGGAGGAGAATGGCCAGGCCCTGGCACCTGAGACCCTCGGCTGGCAGGGAGCTGGTCCTGACGAACCCTTCCTGCCCCGTCGGGTCTTGACCCCCCATCTCTGGTTCGGAGGCCGAAGGAAGCGCATTCGCTCATCTTAAGCAAAAACGACTTAAAATCCCGGCGGAGGGCGGAGAGGGGTGGGGCCCAGGCTCCCCGCCCCCCCCTCGGGCCTGGACCCCTGGGAGTCCGCTTTCCCGGGGCCGCACTGGGAGCCGCACCGGTCGGGGTGAGCCACCTGCACGAAAGGGAAACGCGGGGAAGGCTCGGAGCCCCGCGGGGAGAAGCCGGGGTTCTGGCGGCAGCCCGGCTCCCCCTCCTCCCTCCCCTCCCCTCCCCTCCCTGGGGAGCGGCGGGAAATTATTTATTAAAACGCCGCCCGCGCTCTCATTTATTTGCGGCGAATAATCCTCGGCATCGCGGCGCGTTTATTAAACCTTTCCCGTCCCCGCATTACTTTAATAATAAATCGCGTGTCACTTTCCGGAGATGTTATTAAAGCCGGGCCCGCCGAGCGGAGGCGGGGGAGGGGGAGCGGGGAGAGGCGCAGCCGGGTCCCTCCTATCCGGGCTGCGGGGCCTCACCAGCACGGCGGCCGCGGAGGGAGACTGGGGCTGTGAGGGGGCTGAACCCAAGCTTGCTGCAAGAGCGATTGAGGGGTACGTGTTCCTGGGGGTTCCTGTGACCCTGCGGGGGGCGGGGGGGCCTCTGCTCTGCAGGTGGGCGCAGATAGGCTGGATGGGCCCTCCAGGGGGCGCCTTCGAGCCCTGCTAGGCCGGCTCACCAAGCACAAGCCAGTGGCAGGCCTCAGTGCGCGGCCCCTCTTTCTTTTCTTTTTAAAATATACTTTATTGATTTTTTACAGAGAGGAAGGAAGAGGGATAGAGAGTTAGAAACATCAGTGTGAGAGAAACATCCATCAGCTGCCTCTTGCACACCCCATCAGGGATGTGCCCGCAACCAAGGTACATGCCCTTGACCGGAATTGAACCTGGGACCCTTCAGTCGCAGTCCGATGCTCTATCCATTGAGCCAAACCGGTTTCGGGCGGCCCCCTTTTCAGCGCGGAGCAGACCTCCTCCAGGTCTGGACACGGAACGGCGTGACCCCCTGCACCCCCAGCATGCGGCTTCGGCGGTCGCCTCGGAATTCGCCCCAGGATGTTGCTGAGCGCAGCTCTGCAGCCGGGGCTCCCGGCCAGGCCACAGAGCCGTCCTGTGGTTTAACTCCGGGAGCGGCCTCGCTGTGCACTGAGAGGGGCGGCCAAGCCCCGGGATTGGGGTTCCGGACACGCCCCTCTCAAGAGGCCGGGCCCCAGAGGACAAGCTCAGACACCGAACTGCCTGCCATCCTTCCCGCGGTGGCGCCAGGCCCCGGGCGGAGCCCAGGCGCGCGGGAGGCCGTCGCCATCCCATGCGGCTCCCTCCGGAACTTAAGCTTTCATCTTCAATTAGTCAATAAACACTGCGCCCCGCCAGGGTCCCTCGCCTCGGTGGAGAGTGTAAAGAGAGGTTTGGGGAGTGAGAGAGCCTGGTTCCAAGACGGACCCTGGGCCAGACAAGTCACATTTGGGGCAGATGAGGCAGTCAGCTTCCCAGGACGCTGTGTTCAGTAAGGAGGGGGTGGGTTCCTAGGGGAATCCTAGGGTGTGGCCCACGCCCGTGGCCAAACTGCTCTGCCACCCAGTTTTTGCTTTCATACTGGGTGCCACTCACAGAGACCTGCTTCCCCACTCTGCCTGGGGAGACCAGGGAGAGATAAACAGGGACAGGCAGTCTCTCTCTAGCCCAGCCCCAGAGGAGTTCCGACTGGGGGAATGCCCTCCTCCACCCAGATGGCTCTGGCCTTCCCCCTCCCCGAGGCCAGGGTAGGCTCCAGCTCAAGCATCCTCTCTGTACATCTGGCAGGCATGTGCTTAGAGAGCAGGACCTACAGCTTCTGGAAGCCAGCGTCTTACTACCATGAAATTCACTGCATACACCATCTGTGTGTCTCGGCTCGTTCATAAATCTTTATTGTGTGCTTACTGTGCCCAGTCCTGTCCTAGGCATTGTCCAACATAAAGTGGTATAAGCGAGGGAGTTTCCAGAAGGACGGGATAAATCAGACATGACCAGATGCCCGTCTTACAGCACTAAACTAAACCATGCTCCGGTGTGCTCTCCCGGACAGCGGGTGGTGAAGAGCGAAAAGGACCGCAGTCAGTGAGTGCAGTGGGATTTAGGGGAGAGGGAAATTTCTAGGTTAGTTTTGAGAAAGAGCAAACTGAGGCAAGACAAGGATCAGGGACTAGAAAACAACAGAAGGAGCCGTGCAGAAGGGCGGTGAGGAAGACCGGCTGAGCAGGGCTGAAGGAAGGGCTGTTGGGAAGCCAGGGAGGAACCTGCTGTCTACACCAGGTTCTGTGACTGCTCCTCTCTCCCCCACCCCATGCCACCCTCCACCCAGCCGGGGGACCAGCAGGCCCTGTACCTCCTGCACAGGCTCCTTCGCATCCCGTCTCCCCTATTCCCTGGTCTCGGCCTCTCCTTACCCTTCTCCAGTTTCTGTCTCCTCTCCACCACTCTCATGTCTCCCCTGCAATACGTGAGGGGCCCTGCTCCCCCTTTCCAGATCTTTTCAAGAGCAGGGATGGACACTGTCCCCCCTCCCCCCTCCCCCAGGGGCCAGGGCTTCGGACCTAGTAGTAATCCTCGCCCTCTTCACTCTCAGCCTCTTCCTCGGGAGCCAGGTGCTGGGCGGGCAGCTGGGGGAAGCCTGTGGAGTTCAGCTGGTCTACAAACACGTGTGGGCAAAGGAGAGAGAACAGGAGAGAGAGGCTGTCAGTGTCCGCGTGTCCCAGTCTGTGAGAAAGCCATGCTCGCATGTGTCTTCACATGCACATACACCCGGTGAATACGCACACTCAAGGGCCGGAACCCACCACCACCCCCTCCTGCCTCCAGAAGCCAGGGCTCCTCCCCCTTACCAGGTGTGAGCACCGTCAGGCTGGCTGGGGCCTCCACCTGGCCCAGCGCATTGCGGGCCAGGCAGCGGTAGGTGCCCTCGTCGCTGGGACGAACTGCCTGAATCTGCAGCCAGCTCGTCACCTCAAACCTCTGGGGTCCACCCCTAAACTGGAACCAGAGGAGGAGTCAGCAGGGTCCTTCTAGGGGGGCGCTGGGCTGCCCCGGGGGAAGCTCTGCTCCCTAGCCCCTACCTGCACTGAGATGTGGGGGTCATCTCCCGGCAGCTGAATGTCCAGGCCGTCCTTCCTCCACTCGATGGCAGCCATGGGGTAGGCAAACACCTCACAGCCAAAGATCACATCCTTCCCTGTCACGTTCCAAATGTCGTAGGGGTGCAGTACGATCTGGGGCTCTGGGGAGGGAGGTGGAAGGCCTGAGAACAGGAGGCACGTCCCTCCATGCAAGGACCCCATACATACAAGCCATTGTGAACATATTTGTGGGGGGGGACACAGTGTACGCAAGGGTAAATACACCTCCACGAACACAACATGACACACGCACTAATGTGGCTGCAAGGACACAAAGAGTGCAAACACGGAGACGTACCTGCAAACAAGATGCACAAACAAGCACGCGCGCGCGCGAACACATGCAAACCTCAGCTTGGCAGCCACCCTCTGTCCCTGGTTGCTCCCCTGTCCTCATTCCACCCTCCAGGCCCCCATCCCAGCATTTGTAACCAACACTTCCCTCTCCGCCCTCCCCTTTTTCTATCCAGGTCCGCTTGCCAGAGGCCCAACAAGCAGCCCTTCCCCCACCTCCTCTGGGGGAGTGGGAGAGGCAGCCCAAACGAGAACCTGAAACCATCCCAGGCAGCAAAGAAAGCCTGGAGTTGGAGAAAGTGGGACCCCCGCAGGGTGTATGTTTTCCTGGCGGCCTCAGCCCAGTCAGACCCATCAAAGGAGCTCCGGAAGTGAATGTTACTGAAGCCGCCAAATAAAACTTGAGACTCAAATAGCCCTAGGCTCCCTAAAATGGGGGGGAGGGAGGCCGAAGTGTCCCCTCCTCCACTAATCCCTCAGCACGGAGGGGGGTTGGGATAGGGAGGTGGGGGGGGGGGGTAACAGCTTGCTCTACTAGGGCAAATGAAAACTGATTTCATCGCAGGAACCCAAGCCTCCCTGCCCGGCTCCAGCGGTCTAGGGGAAAGTCTGGGAGCCTCCACTTTCTGTGTTGAGGCCAACGATTGGCTGTGTGTCCGCTCCCCAGAGAGCTGGTCCCTGCAGGTGGGCCTGGAACCTTCAGGCGGGTGGGCCTCAGCGGACCCGCAGCGAGAATGGGCTGTTACCGGACTCCAGGCCTCGGCTTTTTCACTCCGCAGGCCCAGAACACATGCCGTCGGCGGGAGGGGGAGTCAGGGAGGAGTGAGTAGGAGACCCGTACCCGATTCGCAGGGCCCCGGATGCGCCACCGTGAGGTTGGCGTCGGGCCGGGCGAGGGCCGCCTCCTGCAGGCGGCAGAGCTGGGGGTAGGTGCGGCCGTCGGAGCCGCAGAGCGGGTGCTGCGAGCGGCACACGCACAGCGGCTCGGGCACCTCCCCGCGGCTCAGGTCGCCGCCCGCGTCCAGCCGGCACTCGAGCTGCTCGCCGCAGCGCCCGTAGAAGTGGGCGCCGGGGTCCAGGTCGCAGAGCTGGCCCTCGAGGTTGGCGCACTCCCAGCAGCAGCCGCAGGCGTCCAGCACGCGGCCGGCCAGGCAGCCCCGCGGCGCCGCGCACTCCTCCGGCCGGCAGGGCGCGCAGCCCTCGCCCTCCGCCAGCAGCCGCAGCCAGCCGCGCCGCAGGTACTCCGGGCCCGGCGCCGGCCTCGCACCGGCCGGCAGCGGCGTCCGCGCCGCCAGCAGCAGCAGCAGGGGCAGCAGGGGCAGCAGGGGCCGCGCCCAGGTGGCGGCGAGCGGCTGTGGCATGGTCAGCTGGCAGCCCCGCGAGCACCGGGGGCATCCGCGGGCTCGTGCACCCTGCCAGGGAGGGAAGCCGGGTCAGGAGGTCAGATGCAACCTCACTGCTCCTCGTACCCAAGTTTTGACTCTAGCACTGTCCCCTCCACTGCTACCCTGGAGTCCAGGAGACCCTCCCTCCGCGCCGAGGCACAAGGGTCATCCCGTTATAGTGGGTAGTCATGGATCGGGCCGTTCTTGGGGGGATGAGGGAGAGGAGAGAGGATGGGGTGAGAAAGCTCAGGCGTGCATGTAAACACATGTATGTGTACACACACACACACACACACAGCACACACACACCACACCAGCACCACCAATACACACCATCCAACTCGGAAGCTGCCTGCCCTAGAATTGGATGGGAGTGGATGGCCCCACATGAAGTGAGGAGTTATTAGTAAGGGGGAAGGAGAGGAAGAGGGATGCCCTGCGGCCCAGAGCGCTCACCTAGTGTCCGGGACTAAGTCCTTCAGAGCAGCCGTGACTCTGAGTCCCAAAGAGCAGACAGTGGAAGTAACGCGGTGGAGAGCAACGGGCTGGGCTCGCCGGCCACCTCTGCTCCGGCTCACGGATCTCTGAGAGCCACGGACTCAGACTGGGAGAGCAGCAGCTCCTCCGCCTCTCTCCCCACCCCCAGGCTGCCCCCCGTTTCTGAAGCTGCCAGTTTTATGCGGCTGCACGGGATCCTCCTGGACCGCTTCCCTCAGCCTGGACCCAAGTCACAGTGAAAACAGAGGAGCCGTAACCAGACACCCGCGCTGGGAGACGGCCAGAGGCCGGGGGTGGGGTGGGAGGTGGGGGTGGGGGCGGTGTAGGGGTGGCTGCGAAGCTCGCCGTTGGCTGGCCGGCTAGGCCCTGACCCGTCTGACTTTCCAGTCCATGGGGTGGAGGTTCTGGGGCCATGTCGGGCGCCCCTGGTTAGAGCAGGGCCTCGCAGCGTCGTCTCCCCGCGCGGCCCCAAAAACAGCTTCCCCGGGGGGTGATTGAAGGCTTTTCCGTCCAGCTTCCTCACCAAGGCGCCGACCAGAGGCTGGGCGCTGACATCAGCCTCCCCACATCTGGCCTTCTCCTCCCTCCTCCCTCCATCCGGCAGGTGCTTCAGTCGCGGATGAGCCTGGTGATTAGAGGCTCCAGCCCGCTAGCCTAGCGGCCGCAGGAAGAGGTGGGCGGGGCGCCGCCCAGGTCGGGATTACAGGTTGCGGTGGCGAAGCCCGCAGGGCCGGAGGCGTACGGTTCCCTACCCGCCACCGGCGCCACCGTGGCAGTCTGGGCGAGGGGCAGGGAGGAGAGCCTTTCTGGAGGCCCGCCCGCCTAACGGGGGTCTGCCAGGCCCCGCCCCACCGGCCCCGGCGGCTTCCAGAAGCCTGGCCCAAATGCTGTCTCCCGGGAGGGACACTGAGGTCTGCAGCGGGAGGGACTGCATTTAGCCAGGCTCCGCCCAGAGGGACCGGGCGGGGGCGGAGCGACGTGAGCTGGGGCCTCCGGACCAACCCCCAAGTTCAGGGCTGGGCTGGGCTGCGGCCCCGGGACTGCCCGCCCGGGGGAGCGGCTCCGCACGCGCACTAGCGGCCCCGAGAGTTACGGTCCGGAGCGCGGTCGGAACCCTCCCTCCCGGCCTGAGCTCGTCCGAGCCCCTCTGCTTCGGGGCTCCCCAGCGGCGCACAGGCCATCCCGGCCGGAAGGGTCGGACACGGGGTGCGAAGACCGGTACACGGTTACCTGGTCTCTGACTCGGGAGAGGGACGGGAAGCGAACTTCACGTGTGGTCTCCAAAGTGTCGCGAGAGTTCAAACAGGAAGTCTAGAAATTCAAAACAGGAAAAGCCCGCGGAGAAAGAATGGGCGGGGCCAGCTTTGGTTGGTACTTGTGGGTAATTCCTTATTTTTGGCTTTAGGAGCAGCTGAAGTGTGGACCGGGGACAGAAGTGAACTGTAGAACTGCGGGAACCCCTCTAGGAGATTGGGGGGTGGGGGGGAGGGGGAAGAGAGAAAGAGATTGAAATTGCGGAGGCGGCTTACGGAGCCATTCACCCAAGGAGGCGCCTCGGGCTCTGACTTACACAAAATACTTTAAGACGGAGAGATCGTTGCCGGGATACCGCGCAGAAGCAGTCCGGTCTCTTCATGAATGGTTACCCACTTCTAAGGCTCGGCGCCAGTATTTAAACAACAAACTTTACAGACCTGGAACCTCTTCTCTTACCCCACTTTATTGTAGCCGGTTGTTTACTTTCAGTCTTCGCTCTGTTCCAAGCCTCTGGTATTAGGAATCGTGTCTAACTCACCACTGTATCTTGAGAACTTTAGCCCCGCACCTGACAGCCCAGAAAGTTCTTGGTAAATATTTTGTGGATTAAATGTGAACGTCTTCCGGAGTGTGAATGTCAAGGTTAACCTGGATTGTGTGTGTCGCCGATGAGGACTGGCTAGACAGGGACCGAGCGCCCTCTGGTGGGCTTGCGGTTAGTGATGAGAACATTATCTTGCATACAGCAGACAGCAAAAATGTTGATTGAGTAAATAGGAAATCTGTTTTTTTAAATAGAGATTTTGTTCCAGGAAAACACCACATATTGTGGAAATACTTTTAGAAGGGAATTATTTGCTTAAGACACAATTCAAAAGTTTAGATACGTTCTCAGATCCTCATTATCTCCCATTATCCATTAAGGCTCCAAAACACATTCAGTAACATCTATTTGCATCATAAAGTTACTAAACATTTTGCATATTCATATTTTGAGAATGTTGAATCAGTTTGACCGGGTCATGCAAAATTGATGGGCCACAAAGAAAGGATTCTGTAATCTAGACTATATTAAGTACTTCAAGGAGGGAAGCCAAATGGCAGTATCCTTTTGAGTGTCTACATGAGGGAGACTAGATTCAGACTTAAGACTAGAGGATGAAGTTAAAGTTTGTTGGAGAACAGATGGTCTTGCCTCTCTCCCCGTACCCTTTCCTGTAGATGCTTGTACTGAAAAAGGAGTGAGGTATAGAGTGTAGTTTGCTTTACACTGTGAGTCAACCTGGAGTTCACAGGTTTTCATACCTGAACTTTCAGCTACTGAAATATGACAGATTGAAATGGGTCCTGTAAAAATGAACAATATAAGATGAAACAAGGCATAAAGAATCAGTGTGTAAGTAGGTAAGAAATTACTTGGGAGGATCCACAGGTTCTAACCTGTCATTTCATGAGCCCTGTTTTGATACAGCTGGTGAAAATAGTGGGATTGCAACTTTGAGGAAGAAGCAGAAGTGAAACAAATGGTCTAGATTGACCCATTAGAAATGGATACAGAGGAATTGTGCTTCCTCTGAACATAAGAATCAGTTAAGTAAAAAACAAAAAGGCTCAACTAGATAATTAAGACAGAATACCTTGTAGCTACCTACTATGACAAATAGTTGGACTCAATTAAAGTTAAAAATACTAGTATGTGTAGGAAAATAAGGTTAAGTGAAAAGGAAAAGTATATGGATATTGATCACAACCATGTAAATATTTATCATATATATATCATCAATAAGCACCCTAAGAGAATTTGGAATGAGGCATATGGTTGAGTATAATATTCACTGTTATTTTGTAAAATTATTTTTCATAATAAAGTAGATGATGTTCTATAGGTAAATTAGGATGTTGAGATAAATGTAGAAAGTTGGAACAGCCAGGTAGGAAGATAAGCATTATATTATAATTCAGCCATATACTACTAAATGAAAGCTGGAATACCCCAGAGACTAATTCTCTGGAATACCTAGGCATTAAGCTGAACAAGCTTTAAAACGTGCATAAAGAAAAATCAGGTAAAAATTTCCTCAGTTTACTTTTCTTATATCCCAGGAGGCAGCTTCTCCCTTCACCCCCAGTTTCCCATTCACTTTTGAAATGGAAACTTGTAGATCCATCTGAACTAATTACTTGGCCACATTTTGTATTGATAAACTTAAAAAGGATGTTTATATCATTTAGATTCTTTCTACATTTCATTTTGAATTATTACAGACAAGCAGAAAATTGCAAAAAATTGTTTTATAGCTCAATTAATCATTATAAATGAACACTCATGTGATCATTACCTAGGTCAAGAAACAGAACATTGCTAACACCTCCAAAAGTTCCCATCATGCCTCCCTCTTCCCAATTATTAATCCTTTTTCTTTATTAATTAATTCACTTGTAATTCTATAACTTTACCTTCTTTTAACTTTTATATAAATTGAGATACACCTAGGAGTAGAATTACTGCTTCATGTAATATGTGTACATTCAACATTAGTTATTAGGTGGGGGAATGAGTGGGGGTCGTGGGGGATTGGAATGGGGAGTTGAAGACATATATGATACCTTAGTCAATAAAGAAATTTTTTATTTTTTATTTATTTATTCTTTTTAATATATTTTATTGATTTTACACAGAGAGGAATTGAGAGGGTTAGTGAGTTAGAAACATCGATGAGAGAGAAACATCGACCAGCTGCCTCCTGCACACTCCCCACAGGGGGTGTGCCTGTAACCAAGGTACATGCCCTTGACCTGAATCGAACTCCGGACCTTTCAGTCCGCAGGCCGACGCTCTATCCACTGAGCCAAACCAGTCCCGGCAATAAAGAAATTTTTTTAAAAAATTATTAGTATATCATAGATACAGAGAACATACAAACAAATGTAGGGGTATAGCCAAAATGCAGACACACACACACACACACACACACACACACACACACACACGCACACACGCACACACACACACAGGTCCCAAATGAAATAGGAAAAATCTCCAGAAAATGAGATGGAGTCAAACAAACTGTCAGATACAGAGTTCAAAACAATGGTTATAAGGATGCTCATGAACTTACTAAGAACTTCAACAGCATGAAAAAAGACATAGAAACCAGTCAGAAATAAAGAATATATATAACTGAAACAATGAATAATTTACAGGGAATCAAGAGTAAAAT